GGGAGGAGGGAGAGAGGAAAGGGGAAGATGGGGTGGGGTCAAAGGGGGCACAGCATCCCCTCTGCTTGTTTGTTTTGTTTTGTGTTGTCCTTTAATAAGATCTGCAAAAATACATGTTGCCTTTGTCTGAAGCAATTTGCTTGTGTCCTGATTTTAATTACTTATCGAAAACTGGTTGTTAGAGTCCTGATTTTGGTCAGTGAAAATGTGTTATCATAACACTAATTTAGGATTTAAGAAACAAGTTTCTAGTTCCATTTCTATTTAACAAATCTCACTGTTTTGCTAGAAAGGATCAAGGTACTCAGGTATAATTGTGATCTGTTGTTAGATCCCAGAGGCACATACACAAGCTCTTTTTGCAGATTGTCAGCTTCAAATTTGGGCTGTGGAAGGTGAGGAACTTCTAATAATTTCTTTTACAAATCTAATTTTCCATAGACAATGCTTTCCTGACTAGGTTTGTGTCACTCTCAATCCTGATAATGTGGCTGTTTTAAGAAGTCCTTCATGGGATGTGATTAAAGTACTAAAAATAATAATTTATTCTAAGAATCTTTTACACTCTGCACAGTCTCTAATGTTCTATTTATTTTCTTATCTGTCCCTCTAGCTCTCTCAAGACTAGTTGTTTCATCATATACAGAAGACACATATGGTGTTGTACAAAAGGTAAGTGTGTATTTTTGATCAAAGCTTCATAAATTTTTGTCCTTCATCCTATTTACTGAATGTTTTTTTGTGGTGGTCTATAATCTACAAACTTGATTATTTTATTTTGTTGTTGGCTCTGTCATGTAGCCAAACGATGTCCAATATTATTTTTATTTCTCTTTCAGAGTCTTCCAAAAATTTTCATCTCTTTTGTGAATTTGCTTCAGGTGAGTCGTTCAGGGACTTAATTTTAAACACTAGTATATTATTTCTGACACTATTTTAGATTTTAGACAGTAGTGTCAAATATAAGGCACTAGTGTCCTATTTTCAATTTTGGACATTAGTGTCCTCTTTTGGATTTTGGACACTAGTGTTCCATTTTGGATTCTGGACACTAGTGTCCCACTTTTGGATTTTGGACGCTGGTCTTCCATTTTGGATTCTGGACACTAGTGTCCCATTTTTGGATACTGGACACTAGTGTTTCATCTTGGATATTGGACACTAGTGTTCCATTTTGGATTCTGGACACTAGTGTTCCATTTTGGATTCTGGACACTAGTGTCCCATTTTTGGATTCTGGTCACTAGTGTTCCATTTTGGATTCTGGACACTAGTGTCCCACTTTTGGATTCTGGACGCTAGTGTTCCATTTTGGATTCTGGACACTAGTGTCCCATTTTTGGATTCTGGACACTAGTGTCCTATTTTTGAAGTCTGGACACTGGTGTCCCATTTTGGAATTTAGACTTACCGCTAAGTTGCCCATCAGGGCATTTGGATACTAGTGTCCTATTTTGGAATTTAGTCACTACTGTCCTATATTGATAGATTAGTGTTTGATTTCAGACACAGAAAAGTAGTCTTACTTGCATTACTTTTTTTTTTAATTTCTTCGTAATCAGGCTTTGGATCAACATTCAAAGCTCTCCTTGGCCTTAATCTCAAAACCTGAGATTCAGCCCAGACCTCCCCAGCCACAAGGGTATCAATTGAGAGCAAGTAAGTAGAGGGCATATGACAAAAAGAGACACTAACCGTGTAGTCCGCGCATTGTATTGTTGGAAAGAATACAGGATCCAGTGACTAAAAGTATTTTGGTTACAGTGATTTTAAACAGAACAATTTTCTCATGATTTTTAGGAGAAATCCAGGGTATATTAGTTTTTCATCACCACGCTCTGTGATTGGTCCAGAAAGCTTGCGAGAGTTTGGTGCCAAACTAAAACTAATCGCGATTTGGTCTCCCGCGCTTTCCCGCGCTTCAGTTAATTTGCTCGTTCTTACCTTGAGTTCTAATTGGCTCCTTGTAACATTTTCCTTTGTTCTGATCAGCTAAAAGTAAAACACGTTTTCCCACGCTTCTGTCAGCTGGCTTGTTTTTACTTTCAGTTCTCATTGGCACTTGTAATATTTGCCTTTGTTCTGATTGGCTTTTGCGCTAACCTTGTTTTTGCTCCTGCGACACTCAATTCAAATCCGAATACAATGTAAACCAATGGGGACTTGTTTCTTGTAACCTGCGAGTACAAAATTTACGTGTTTTTTTTTTTTTCGGTTTGAGCGCTAAACATGGTAGCGCAAATGTGCGGCCAAGTTAAGCGCTCTCATAGATATAGACAATAGACAATTGAAAAACATTGCAACCGAAGGTTGAATTACGTATTCATTTACAAATTTAAGAAATATATAAAAATGGTAACATACTTTTAAAATATTAAAAATTAGGTTACATAAATAGCGTCAACTTATACAATGCGTGCGTAAATGATGAAAGATAAAACTGTCATGGCACCTGTTCGTACGAACCACAGGTAAATTAAAAGCGCGTTTTTTTCTTAAGTCCACACTAGATATATTCCTGGGCGGCAGGAGCTTATGCAGCTTGTGATTTGGTGCAAGAACGTTAGAGAAGAGCTTGTTGGCAATATTCTCGCGCCGCTCATGCAGCGAGATAAGCCCAGTGCACGATAGCGCCTCGTCATATTCTTTATGGGGGAAAATTATACGTAATGCGCGCTTCTGGCATCTTTCTAAATCAACTGATTCATATGGTACCAACAGGGAGAATTTGTCTACAACCAGGCGCTCCTTAGATTGGGAATGATTTA